AATACATGAATTTAATTAATAAGTATTAATCATGCATATTAATTAAATTCATGTATTTTCATTGATAAATGTTTAGTATTCCATACATATCTCAAGTTAAATGTATAAATCCACTCAGCTATTAATGTAGTTACATGTACTAACATTAACTAAGTTACTATATAAAGAGAGTTACTACATACAACTCTACAAATCAAAAGAAAAAATGGCTTCTCATCTCAAAGGTATAAAAAAATCAACCATGACAGATGGTATGCGTAGAGAATTATGTGAGTACAAACAACAAAATCCAGCATGCACTCAAAAGCAATTGCAATAGTGGGTGTTAGAGAAGTTTAATTTGCAAGTTAGTCAAGCTACAATATCAAATACAATCAAGAGGTCAGCAAAGTATCTATCAATTTCTGACATTCCGAAAGATGATGCCAAAAGACATAAAGCTGCCAAATTTCCAGAATTAGAGAAGGCTCTGTACGAGTGGTTTGTTCATAACCAAGAACGCGTTAATATGAGTGGGGAACTAATTGTAACAAAGGGAAAAGAGTTTCTAAAAAAGATGTATCCCATTGATACGCCTGATTTTCATTTTTCTCAAGGTTGGCTAGAGCGCTTCAAATCAAGACACGGCATCAAGACATATCGTCGTTTTGGAGAAAGTGGTTCGGTTAATATGGAGGTGGTGGAGAACAATTTACAATCCATAAGAGAGAAACTTAATCAGTTTGCTATGAAAGATGTTTTCAATATGGATGAAACTGGATTGTTCTACAGGCTACAACCAGATCGTTCTCTTGCAACAAAGCAACTTGAAGGTAAGAAACAAGATAAGGAAAGACTTACAATTGTTATTTGCTGTAATGAGGATGGTTCTGAGAAAATTCCTTTATGGATAATTGGGAAGTACACAAAACCACGTTGTTTCAAGAATGTGAATTTGGGTAGCATGGATTGTGAATATCGTGCCAACAAAAGAGCATGGATGACTGGGATTTTATTCCAAGAATACGTTCAACAACTTGATGCAAAAATGGATGGTAGAAAAATTCTTTTAATTGCTGATAACTGTCCTGCTCATCCAAAAAATATTGAAGGTTTGAGAAATATTAAATTATTTTTTTTTTCCACCTAACACAACATCAAAGGTTCAGCCTTGTGATGCAGGGATCATACGAGCTTTTAAGATGCATTATCGGCGACGGTTTTATCGAAATATTTTGGAGGGTTTTGAAATTGGGAACCCGAATCCAGAAAAGATTAATGTTTTAGAAGCAATGAATCTTGCAATCTCGGCATGGAAAATAGATGTCCACTCAAGTACTATTGCAAATTGTTTCAGGCATTGTAAACTCCGATTGCCAGATGGTGAATCCTCGAAAAATCAAGAACAAATGGACAATGACAGCTTACAACAATTGCAGAATCTAATCAATAGATTGAATTATCGTCATGCAATGAATGTTGAAGATGTTTTGAACTATCCGGGAGAAAATGACACAAGTTTGGAGTTGCCTACGGATGAACAAATAATTGAGAGTGTTATGGAAAGCAACAAAGAAGATGAAGTGGAAGACGATAGTGTGGAATTAGAACAAGTTTCGCGCAAAGATGCTTTGAAAGCAGCA